GGAGAACAAGGAGGTGATCGCGATAGGCCTATAGTTGGACGGGTCTGAGCGGTCGCCTTTTTTAGGGATCGGGTGGACAAAAGCTGTCTTCCATGAGTTCGGGACAACGCCATGGGAGTAGGAGTACCGGAAAAGACGCGTTAGAACCGGTGCCAACTCCGGAGCACACGTCCTCAGCACAATTGGGGGGATTCCGTCAGGCCCACTCGACTTGTGGATGTCAAGGGAGAGGAGTGCTCTGCGAACCGAGCGCTGTGAGAATAGCACATCCGGCATAGAGCACTCACACCGCGGGATGGTCGGCGGTGTGTTCCCCCCGTCATCAACAGTCGAGTTGGACGCAAAAAGGGAGCCTAAAAGGTCGGCCTTCTCTTTTGCGTCGTGGGCCAGTGAGTCGTCCTCCCTGTGCAGAGATGGTAGTGATGGCTTACAGAAATTCCCTTGGACAGCCTTGGCGAGAGACCAGAATGCACGGGTTCCCGAAGGAAGGCGAACTAGTTTCTCGCCAATTCTGCCTATGTGCTCTGACTTTGCCTTGGCAATAACTCTTTTGAAGGACCTGGAGGCGAAGTTATACTTCTTTTTAAGTGTGCTGGTGTTTACATCCCGAGTCACCGAAGCCGCAGCCCAGGCTTGATAACACTCCTGCTTTCTGCGCAATGCAGTCTTACAGGAGCGACCAAACCAAGGCTGAGACCTGCCTCCGATGGGTACCACAGATGATGGAATAAATAGTTCCATTCCCTGTAGCACCACATCAGTGACAGAGTCAGCAACAGCGCTGGGATCATCCGGCGAGAAGCAAACCCGCCCCCATGGGTAGGATGCAAAGAAAGACCGCATTCCGTCCCAATCTGCCGACCTGTAATGCCAAACACGGCGGCAACCTGCAGAACGCAACCGCGAAGGGAGCGTGAGTGGCACCATACTCCGGATCAGACAATGGTCCGAAGAGCCGAGAGGGGCATCGACGGAAACCTGATATCCGTCCGGATGAGAGGTCAGCAGAAGGTCCAACAGGGAAGGTGTATGATCCTCCACATCTGGAATCCGCGTAGGCGAAGTAACCAGTTGTGTCAGACCATATGCCAAAGCAAAGTCATAAACAGATCTCCCCGCATGATCGGTTAAACGTGAACCGAGCCATTCGGCATGGTGGGCGTTAAAATCGCCAAGGATCACGATCTCTGCGGATGGGACCTGTTGTAGCAAGGAATCTGTAGCCATTTGGACGTGGTCGATGAGTCGGTCTGTTTCGGCATTACCGCTATGGGACCTATAGAGGCACCCGTAGACGCGCGGATGGTCGTCGCTGTCTACGCGTAGCCAAAGGATGGACAGGTCCGAACCTTCAAGACTGCCGAGGCGTCGAGAACAGATGTCCTCTCTGACATACACGCAAACTCCAGCCCGAGGCACAAAGGAGTGCTCCAATTTGTACCCCGGGCAGGAGAGATACGAAATATCAGCCGGAGAGGAAACCTGCGTCTCGGTCAGAAAGAGCAAGGCCGGCTTCGCCGTCTCGAGATGGTAGTGGACGGCGTTTAGGTTAGAGTGAAGTCCCCTGATGTTGCAGAAATTCACGGATAGCGTGGCAGGGGTCGCCTTGGTATTGTTGCTCAGTTTGCCCCAAGCAGTTTTGTTTTTGAGCGGAATTTTGCCCCCCCCAGAATACGCGGGGCAGCCTGAGCACCCACGCTCAGGATTGGAATAACATGGTCGTGGATGCTCAGCGAGGGATTCTCCAGGGGTACTGGTACCCTCCTGGGGTAGTCTACTTTGTAATTCCGCTACCATGTTGATGGGGGGGGGGGGGAATTGGGCCTCCGGCCACCTGCACTCACCAGACGAAACGCAGAAGCAGAGCCTCTACTTCACGCCGGTATTCTGTGAGGTCGTGGTACCAACCCGGCTCGAGCCTGCCCATACGTGCAACAGTAAAAAACTGCTGCGGGGCTCTACCACCGTTAACAGATACATTTACAAATATTTTCTGTTTCTTATATAAAATGAATAACTTACCAACTAATTACGGTTAATTCGGTAAAATATATTATCATTAATTTACTTAAAATTTTATTTATTAGCTTAAAACAATCAGCAATTATTCGGAATCATCGTATGACAAACTTTGTAACCATGTCCGAATTACATTTTTACAATCTGCCATTTTTAATGGATACATGTACAAAATTGCATTGACTTGATTATATAGAAAAGGGCCAAGGAATGTAAAAAATCTATGCATGAAAGAATGCCTTATTCTAATGTTAGTTTCAATCACTTTATCTTTGCGTCTTTTATCAGTGACCTCTCTTTTGTAGGGCAATTTTAAGTGCAGTTTTAGTAACGTACTCATAACAAATAACTGGCGCACTGACAGGACATTATAGGATTTATATAAGAGATGGAACGGGAATAGGATAGGGCGAAATATTGCGACTTTTAATACAGCTCTTTGAGCGCGTTCCAGTGGTAGCAGTGTAGTTTTAGCTGCTCCTCCCCATGAGGTTACACAATAGGTGAGAATTGATTGACATAATGCGTAATATACTTGCTTTACTACCTTAATATCAACAAAAGAGCCAATCTTTTTAAAAACAAACATTAGTTTACGGACACTCTGCAATAGCAGAGGTGGTCTATGTGATTTTTAAATGTAAGAGTAGAATTTATAATTATTCCAAGGTATTTAATAGTTTTTGTATTAAAAATAACTGGGCAGTTACAATTAGACTCTGCGACTGAACAACATTTATGTGCATAAATTTCTGGAATGGTTATATGCTGTGTTGAGCTGTGCATAGAAAAATGAATATATTAGGTTTTGTCCGTATTCAGTGTTAATATGTTTTGTTGGAGCCATTTATTAATCCTGTCAAAACCTTGCTGTGCACATAAATAAACCTTGCGGAAAAATAGGAGCACGGTATCATCTGCGTAAGATATTATTTTACCCTAGTTAAGTTCTAGATTGCAAAGGTCATTTATATATATCAAAAATAGGGTCAGTCCTAATACACTTCCTTGAGGCAGATATTCAAAGCAAGAGTGAATATACTTTTTCGAGGCTCATATTATGGTGAGATGGTTTTTGATATTAAACACCATCTAAGACTATCTCTTCTTAGTGTCAGGTGGGTTATTGCTCAAATGTGTGAGCAATAATCGAGGAGTCTGGTACTTCCATCGCTGATCAGTGTGTTAAGCTTGGTAAGTATCTACTCTAAAAAAACTAAAAAAAAAAACTGGAAAGAGGCCCAAGCCTAAGTTTATAAGCGAGTACGGATTGAGGCATTTCACTCGTCCTAACCTACTCGTGATCGATATAACACTTACACGATGGTTTAGGGTGGTTTACAATTTTTTTTCGAGCAAATGAAGTACATATTTTTAATTTTTTAAATTAAAGTAAAGAAATTAAGTACAACGTGTAAAAATTAACTATTTTTAGTTATCTTGTTATTTTTTCCCACATCTATAGTTATTGTAACTTTGAGATCTGACATTTGCTACGAGTATATGTCTACTGTTACAGCCTAACAAAAGGCCACTGCTGAACAGAAGCCTCGCCCCAGAGATTGCCTTATAGGGGGGATATTTGCCATAGTTGCCACGTTTGGCAGGCTGGTTGGAAACCGCCGATTTTTATTTTAGTTTTTAATAGCAAGGCGCTCATCTCCTGGTTTGTTTCCCACTGTTGCCTCTTACGACAACCACGGTATGATGTGGAGTAGTAGAATATTCTGTTATGTGTCTTAAGTTATGGTATATAATATGTATAATTATTTCTTTTTAAGCTTTGTTTGTTTCGCCCCACCATAACTCATTTTTTTCTTATATGGCTTGTTCTTTTAGTAAACAATAAAATAAAACCATAAAAATTGTTAAAATATGAAAAATAAAGTATTTTTACGTACTTTATTGTTTTCATAAAGAATAAAGTACGTTTATTCCGTGTAGTGGCGGTGTAAGAATATTCACTAACCCATATAGTCCCGTGGGTGTCGTAAGAGGCGACAGAGGGAAACTGAAACAGGAGATGGGCAGCAGCACCTTCCTGATAACGACTCAAAATAATAATAACTGCGGTTGGCAATCCACCTGCCAAACGTGGCAACTATGGCAAAAACCTCACCTATGGGGCAATCTATGGGAGAAGCCTATGTTCGGCAGTAGACTTTTATAGACTATAATGGATGGATTGATGGACATTTACCAGAAATAGCGTATACCTAATCTTTTATACGGGTGAAAATCATAACGATGATATCGGAGACAGAATAGATTTCAATGACAACTCGCAGTCTTCATCCTAAGTCGATCTCATATTTATTTGTCTTCGATATATTCGATGCAGTGTTACAGACGCTGGGAATAGAGAAATACCTATATCTCTAAAACTGCATCGAAGCTTAATCATTTCCATTTTACCACACAAGAGTTGGATAGCAGATTCTTTTAAGTTAGTGTCTCTGTGTACGTTTGGAGTATACTATAGTAGTCGATAAATACTGAAGAAAATTATAAGTTCTCGCTCTGGTCCAATTCGTTTAAGAGAACGTCTTAACTTTTCAAAATCAACACAATGTGTTTTTTCACAAACATTGGTTGAATTTAGAAACCAAAACCTGCCGCTCTCAGTAGCTGTTCCATCACCACCAGGCTATTCAGTCATTGGAGAAATCTTAAGCAATTTTAACGGATGCCTATATTTCGCCTATACTGTTCGTTTCTTTGTGATAAGACTACGAAAGGATAAGTTAAACATATTGTTACTATAAAATTAATTTATTTTTTACATTACAATACACGCCTTACCATTTAATCTCCCAATATACATAAAACTAGTCGACATACAGCACAGACACACAAAACGAACGTGAAATTTAGACAGTGAGCTTCTTTTGTCACACCGCATAGTGACCAAGTGTCACATACTATTTATTATACTACAACTTAACACTTAACAAGTCTTTGTAATTTTATTTAAGCTAGTTTTAACTTAATGCTAATAACGGTTCTTCTGGATCGTGCTTTTGGCTGAGGTATTTCGAATTCGTTTTTTTCCACTGGTCCTTTTTGCTGACCATTTTCTGTTTTGTTGCTGCCAGTTTGGCTTTACTCTTGGAAATTTTTACGGGGACATGTACATCATCATCGAGTCGTTCTAAAGTTTCGATTATATTTCTAGGCTCAGACATAACTGTTCTTGTTTCTTCACTAATTTCATCCATTGTTCCATTTTTATTGGCGTAAACAACGACATAGTGAGAATATGCAGAATTAGAAGGAGCATTAATGTCAGCGAAATCTCTAAAGTTAGCAAATTGGTCCTGGTTATAATTGGGTTTTGGGTTGGCTATATACCCTACTCCTATGGATGGTCTGCCATGGCCATTGTTGTAGTAAGAACTAAAGCTGTCACCAAAATCGTGGTCTTCATCATTTTGGGCCAAAAATGTACCCCCTCTTATAATTCCAAAGTTACCAGAGCCTAACACAGTGGAGCTTGTATCGATCAGTGGAGCTGCTGATACTGCAGATTGTTTTCCGAAAGATTCACTGTTTCTGTTAAAGCTTCCAAATAAAGGATAATTCAATAGGGACCTAAAGGAGTTAGGCCTTTGACTGTAAGCTCCCTCTTGGCTTCCGAAACCAATCCTATAATTGTTCTGAGGGCGTTCTTCAAAAAGGTTTGTAAAAGTTGGAAAGAAGTTTTGTGAATCACCGACCACTTCTATTGAATGATCTGCATCGTCTGCAGCGGGAGTCAAATCTTTTTCTCTTTGTTTATAATAATGAGGAGGTGCTATAGCTTCGGGTATGATTTCTGAAGATTCTGCTGCGAGATCCGTTGTATCATCTGTAAAAATGATAGGTTCGTGGTTAGTGTTTTATAAAAGTTAGTGTAGAAGTAAAATAGTAGATTTAAAACTAGGAGCGAATGTATAAAACAGATATGAAAGTTTCTCTATTTTATATTTATAAAGGTTAACATACAATTCTTTCTCATAAATTTTGAAATCTATGAAATTGCAGGACAATTCTATTAAAAGATCTGGAGGTATATTAATCTTTTTAAATTAAATTCGAAAAAATCGGTTACTATATATACTATATACTATATAGGTACAATGTACAATTAGTGTTCTGTGCCAATATCCTCTAAGATGCCATCAGCTCATATAGATATTTTGCTATGTTGTATTTATGTAAATATGCTAAATAGGTAAAAAATAAAGAAATTTATTTTTTCAAGATGTCTGTGCGTGTACGTTTGTACTGTAATGAACAGTCAGCAGCTTCAAATTTGCGAGACGTCTGGTACTGCGATTGCTCGATGCTGCATACAACGGGAGATGTCCGTATCAAGCAGTGGACTTTTATACGCTGATGAAGAAAAAAAATCAAATTGTCAAATATATTGTACATGAGTGGCTACCACCAATTTATCTTTTTGGTAGGGGCGAAAGGTGACAAACTAGGACAGATTACTAATAAGGTACTACTTTTTGGTAGGGGCGAAAGGTGACAAACAGGCACAGATTACTAATAAGGTATACTACTTTTTGGTTGGGGCGAAAGGTGACAAACAGGGACAGATTACTAATAAGGTACTACTTTTTGGTAGGGGCGAAAGGTGACAAACAGGGACAGATTACTAATAAGATACTACTTTTTGGTAGGGGCGAAAGGTGACAAACAGGGACGGATAAAGAAGGAAGATATAGAATGAAAGATTTTATAGAATTTTAGTTTTTGTTTTAATATATTCTAAAAATTAAGACTTATTTTCAATACTGGACTTGTGATGGGCTGTAATGATGATGATGATTGTATTATGTAAACATAAATAATGAAATATAATAAGCAAAATCTAAGTCTTTAGATTTCTTAATGGTAAAATCGTCCCAATGATATTGTTTCATAACTCAGCAGTCTATGAGAAAAACAGTCATCATCGGAGTAACAAGTCCATGTGTTTACGGAAATGCTTGCGTAAAACTACCTTTTCTTACGCCAACGTCAAACTATTATAAAATTCTTGAGCACCGTAATGAGACAGTGATACATTTGATTAACCCCTCTAACCTCCGACCCACAATCATCATAATCGTTTAAAAATCTACATTTTTCTTTGGAAAATACAACGCGAGTGTTTCGAAATGGTGCCGTAGGTCAGGAGAAAGTTCAGGTTAGTTGTAAATAATGAAACTAGATTCCTTCGACGTATTTCCAACTGCAACAGAATTTCCATACAAAATTTTGGTCACGTAGCATAGAATTGATGTTGTCACACGGTAGTTATGAATGATGTACCCCACACATAAGAATATACAGATATACTTAGATGATATATTTTGTTTACTTGATACATTTATTTTCTTTTCATGACTTTTTGGGATAAAAAATTAGCTCCATTAGCGATTATAAAAAGCGGTATAATATGAGGTTTAAGATTTAATCATACCTACTTGTTTCTATATAAATAAAATGATAGAGGTTTGCAGTTGTGCGCGCATCTCGGAAAAACTACTGGATAGGTTTCAATTCGGATTTCTAAGTTTTATTTCTTAGACACTTAGCCCTCATCTAAAAAAATATTGCGATTTAATATAAAGTTATTAAAGTTTTAAGAAACAACGATTTTTATAACCTATAATCTATATGTTCAGTGTGTAAGCAACGCGGACGAAGTCGCGGGTATCAGCTAGTTTTAAAATAAAATTCCGTGTGGTGGCGGTATTAGAGATTCCATCACCACATCTTAGTCCGTGGGTATCAGCTTAGTTAAATGTTGACTGCCTCGTTCGTCTAGTGGTTGTAGTAGTGCGATTGTTGATCATGAGGTCCCGGGTTCGAATTCCGGGTTGGGCTAAAAAATCAGTTATTGAGTTTTTCTATCAAGAAATTTTCAGTAGCTGCCCGGAGTCAGGAAGCTGGCGGTGTCTCACCCCAGTGCCTCGGAAAGCACGTTAAGCCGTTGGTCCTGCGCCTGATCTCTCTCCGGTCGTGTCGGTTTACCGTCCCATCGGACTATGAGAGTGAGGGAATAAAGAGTGCACTTGTGCTTGCGCATACACTTGGGCATTATAATATGTCCTGCGCCGATGGCTAGTCTCCGTTGAGGCTGGCCGCCGTGACCAAAATTCGGTCTGGAGGACATTATTATTATTATTATTATTATTTAGTTAAATGTTGGTATTAACATGTGTCTTCCGACAGATGGCGGTAATACCATCTTGTATTTTATATCAGATCTTGAAAATACCCAGATCAGCAACCAAGTATGAACTGCGATCTCTGTACCGTCTGTCAGGAATAGCGATTAAGCGTTAAGCAATTAAGGGTTCCGTTTAACTGTGGGAAAGTCTCATGGACGGCTGTATGGCTGTGATTTTTTTAAGGGCTAGTAATGAAAATATTGATACATCGTGAATGTAGGTACATAAGGCTAACTTAGACTCAGTAGGTATAAAGACGTAAGCAAGTGCGCTACTCTAAGTATTTTAATCAGTAAGGTCACTGTGAGTATGTATATATATTAGTTGTAGTTGTTTGTTTAAACGTCTCGTTTCTTACACGTTGCTCCCCATCGCGGTCATGTACCTTCATCGTCGGTCGAAGTATTTTACGTCTGGCGTAATATATGGGTATACCCGCCATCTATCGGAAGCTGTGAGACCTTCCAGACGTCATTGGGGGTGATGGATTCTTTGTACATCGCCACTAGATGGAAATCCTATATGATACTCTCTATAATATATAAGACCAATTGCTGTCCGCCACCGGCCTGCGCCCCGTTTCCCTAACTGCGCCTCTTTCCCTGACTGCACGCCGTTTCCCTAAACTGTGCCTCGTTTCCCTAACTGCGCCCCGTTTCCCTGACTGCGCCCCCTTTCCACAACTACGCCCCTTTCCCTGACTGCGCCCCCTTTCCCTAAACTACGCCTACTTTCCCTAAACTGCGTCCCCTTTTCCTAAAGGGGGTCGCTTCCGATTCGGCAGAAAGGCCATACAGGCCAAAGCCAGTACCACAGGTGGTGTTTAGTGGGTAGGCACTTCATAGTGAGTCCCACATAACCGCGCAGCCGGCTGCGTGGTATGCTGTGAGCATTCACCACCTCCCTCCCACGCTTCCGGAGGGTAGCCTTGCTATGGGCGCAAAAAAAACCGCCACCGTTAGTCTCACAAAAACTCGAAAATGGCTAGACCGATTTTGATGAAATCTGTATGTGTGAGTTAGATGGATAGTTTAGAGTCACAATTGGATCCGGTAGGTGGCGCTGTTGTCGAGATCCAGATCACCCGTGCGAAGCCGGGGTGGATTGCTATAGTTATTAATATAAATGCAATGTAATGATAGAATAGCTTGTAAGACATTTCAGTAGAAAATAATACAAATAAATATCTATTAAATATGACGTATGGTCTATTAAATTACACAAAAAATTTTCGCAGTATAAACAAAATCATAAACATTAAGTTGGTTAGATAATTATGTAATTATGTCAACAGAAATGTTTTGTTTCATTTAATATGTAACAAAAGCGTAGGAAGATCCGGTTATGTGATCAATACAAGTTTTTTGATGGAAAGCTAATGTTTAACACTAAATTTGTTAGAAAACTGACCTCAATTTTTAATGGTATTACACAAGTTGCAAAAATGTTACCTATGTTGCTTTTGCAAGGTTTTATTATCTAATAGACAGTAAACCGCTATTTATCGAAAGCTATACGATCCTTGTGGATAGTTCCCATAGTATTCTCTTACAACGTTGACGCGACGAAATGGAATGTTGGGTTCTCTTATGTTTTTTTTTTATGACTCATAGACATTTACATCTATCCTCAATAAAGACTCAAGATGCAGATGCGTTGTCACCCGTGAGGACTAAGATGGAATGCCTCTTTGCCAGTAAAAAGGGTCTCCGGTTCTCTACACTCACCATACGAAACACAGCAGCGTTAAGCTGCTATTTTACGCTGGTTTTCTGTGAGAGCGTGGTCCTTCCCCGGTCGAGCAGACTCATTCGTGTTACAACTATTCTACTAATATAGCTGCAGCATGGCTCTACCACGTTGGAATTATGTCATCAACACTTGGTAATGCGCCTGCTAAGCGTGACGACTAGGCAAATTATAAAATGGGATGTCCAGCTGCGGACTTTTTCCTACTTTTACGGTCTTTTTTTTAAATTAAAGTGATATTAGTATTCCTGGTTACTAGTGGTTTACTATAGTAGTCTAATGGTGGATTTTAACCCAAGGTTAATAATATCCTTTAACTATTAAGCTACTGTTACTATCCAACTTTCTCCTCGAACTGTATCCCGCCTAATCGTGGCGGAGAAGCTTAGTAGCCGTGGTTTGGTCACCCACGGTGAACTAGGAGGAAACCAAGGTGCTTTATGAATGCTCTTTATTCTGGCCCCATGGCCGTAACGGACTCGAGAGCTCCGTTGCGCAGGTTGGAGCTCGTCGCGCATTACTCAACCGTGCGAAAATATCTCACAAAAGCTATCCGTTCGCCGATCAAAACGATTTTGTTAACGGGTACGTAAGAGTGATATATTAGCTTCCTTATTAAGTGTTGTCACAATTAATCATTACTAAATCATAAAGAAAATTCATATTAAAATCCGACCTAAATGTACACAATATGAATTGTGACTGATAGGTTATCCGTTTCCGGAAATTGTTATGTTTTAGAAAATGGTTTTAGCAATATGAAAAATCCAGAACTCATTTTTTGTAGCACAGTCTATATTTTACATAAACACTCACGCCTGTCACCTAGAGGGGTATGCAGAGACTATAGACTTCCGTTTGGCACAATACTGACAAACCTCTCTCGCTTCCTCCACATCCATATACCTCGCATACACGCTCGTCGGTTAAAGGTAGTCTTGGTTTGGCCCATTTTCAATATATCGCCAATTTGGTCGATAAACTATATTTCTATATTTTATATTGGTGTTTTTGCATATAATAGCCTCTGAGAATAGCT